GGAGATCCACAAGATTCCTTGAACCCATTTGGAGTTGCATTACAGAACAGAAAAAGAATGGAGATAAAACTTTTAGCAAGTGAGGGAATTAGAAAAGGCCCTTTTGCCATTCAGCTTGGAAGTTGTGGGGAAGACTGTTCAAGAAGTGGGCAGAAGATCGTACAGAAGGAAACCATCCATTCAGAAGTTCAGCTCTGGAACTTCAGGAGCATCCAATACCAGAAGGCTGAGGGTCCCCGAGGACTTTGCAACCAAATCCACAACTTCTGTAGGCGATGGCTGAGACCAGAAAAGCACACCAAAGCCCAGATGCTGGACCTGGTTGTTCTGGAGCAGCTTCTGGCTATCCTGCCCCCAGAGATGGAGAGCTGGGTGCGGGAGTGCGGAGCAGAGACTAGCTCCCAGGCAGTAGCCCTGGCTGAAGGTCTCCTCTTGAGCCAGGCAGAGGAGAAGAAAGAACAGGTTGAGTTGCAGGTGAGAGACCTTCATCTAGGGAACCCAGAATAGAATAAAGATTTCCTTTTAATTCTTTATCGCTCCTTCCCGATTTCTCTGGTGTTCATAGTATGTGGAGATGTCCCACCAGTTTCAGTCTCATTGATGGATTTTGGGGGGACTTTCAGGTTGTGTTCAGAGAACAAAAATCCACTTTATGTTTTGTGATGTCCATTAATTCTTCTTTCTCCTTCCTCCTATTTCACTGTGGAGATCAGAAATCCTGAGGGAAAGTGGAATCCATCAAATCCCCCTCAGGAGCTGTTTCTCAGGAGGATCTCTCAGGAAGAGGACACCTCAGGTACAGCGAAGGTCCTCCATATTTCAGAGAGGTCCCAGCTACCTTACCTTTTCTATCTCTTCCCTTCTGTAGAATACCTCCTATTTTGTTAATTATGATGCATTTTAAAATTCTGTATTCCTCATAGAAAAACAAAGGATGGGGTTTTCTGGTGTTTATGATGGAGCTGAAACAGTGGTTGAACCTCCAAATCAAGTAAGTTATGGAAATTAATTTATTAGATTTGTATTCTCCCTTTCCTTCAAGAAGAGAAGCTGGTGTGCAGACCACTCTCTCCTTCCATTCCCCCTGCCCCATTTAGACTGGATTATTTTTGTGTTCCTGAGCAACATGGGAAAGGGAATAGTCCTACTTTCCATCTATCTCAGCCCCCGGAACTGAACAGGAGGACTTTTTTCCCCCCTTCTTGGCTTTTCTGCTGCTGGACTCAGTGTCTAACTGGAATGTACCTCAGGA